CAACCTCTGTCAGTTCATATATGCAACTACCCTGCTGTATCCAGAAACCACTGTTTTCCTGTAGTCATCCTCTGCCTCAACCTCTTAGACTCTTACACCCCATCCCTCTCTTGTGATAATACCTGGGGAGGGTATGTGATAATTTGAAAAAATTGTTTGAAAAATTTTTTTAGTAAAGTTATGATCCCCATGTTTGGTACATATATTTTAAATTGTTTTCTCTTTTTTCTTTATTATCATGTAGTGGCCTTCTTTATCTTTTCTAATTTTGGTTTAAAGTCTGTCTTATTAGGTATCAGAAGGGTATGTGAGCTTGTTTTCAGTTTCTGTGTGATAGTTTTCCATTCTTTGACTTGTGAAATGCCCATGTTTTTCTGTCAATTTTAGAGGCAGCTTTGCCAGATATAGTTCTCTTGGTTAGCAGTTCTTTACTTTCAGAGCTTGCAATACATTGTGCCTGTTTCTTGAGCCCCCAAAGACCACCAAGGAGCTGAATCCAGTGCAAACACATCAGGGTCTCTATTCAAGTTGAAGCTCAGGCCACACTATTGTCACTGACACAACAGGATGGAAGAGTGAAGCCCTAAGCCCAGTTTCAAGCAAGCATTTATATTGGCAAGCAAACAAGTAAGGGGATTTCCAACTTGGCACACATCTGATTGGGAGGCTATTATGAAATTTATTACCCTTTAAAATGATTGGCTGGTGCTGGGAGCCAAACCATAAACTGTCATAAGTAAATATCTTTAGGTATAACTGTATCTTCTGCTTTCCTCCTGAGTAGTGGTTGTTAGGAAGTGGCCTGGAGACCAGTGCTAGGTGCAGGCCTGGTGGTTAACTCAAGTTCAACCTTAGGTCAGGTTCTCTAAGATGGAACCTGAACCCAAGATGGAGTTTGTCTGATCTCTCAGCATTATTCCCAGCTTTGTGGGTTCCTGAAGAAAAATCTAATGTTATCCAGATGTTTCTGCTTTTGTTGGTACATTGGCACTTTTCACTTTAAATGTTTTTCTTTGCTCTGTATTTTTTGATATCTTAGCTATAAAATCTAATAGAGTACTTATCTGGTCATGTCTGTTTGGAGATCTCAATCCCTCTTGTGTTTGAATGTTTATTTCTCTATGTGTTTCCTGCTTGTCTCAAATTCTTCCTCAATCTGTAGATTCTTAGGTTGAACCCCACAGTCCTTGGATGTTGCAGTCAGTCATGATCATTTTCTTCCTTACTGATTTCTGAATGCAGTATTTCATCAACCTTGTGTTTCACCCCTCATGCTTTTTCTGTTTGTTCAAATCTATTGCTAACACTTTGTACTGTATTTTCTATCGAATTTATTGGAGTTTTCATGTTCAATGTTTCTATTTTACTTTGTTTCTTTTCAAAATATCAGTGTCCTTGCTATATTGCTTATCCGTGTTTCTAACATTTTTCTCTATGTTGCTGAATTTTCTATTTAGGTGATAGATTTAATTCATGTTTTGTTTTCCTGCAAATTATTGATCATTCTTACCAGAAAACTTTTGGAATTTTGTGGCATTTTACTATTTGAATAATGTTGGAGTCCTGTGGTTGACCAGTTAATAATATTTGGGGAATGATCATGTTCTCTTTCATTTCACGTTTCTTGCATTTTTGTGCTGCAAAATTACTCATCTATTGCTTTGAATATATCGTCTAGATTTGGAGATTGGGTAAGGGATAGTGTTGAGCTGCCTGTTCTTAAAGACTTGATTAGTCCCTACTAGGTGGTGGTGCACACCTTTGATCCCAGCACTCAAGAGGCACAGGCAGGTGGATCTCTGTGACTTCAATGCCAGCCTGGCCTACTTAGGGAGTTCCAGAACAGCCCAGGTGATTTAAAGGGAGGGCCTGTAAATAAATAAATAAATAAATAAATAAATAAATAAATAAATAGACTGACTGACTGACTGACTGACTGACTGACTGACTGACTGACTTGGTAAACAGCAGCTCCAGTATAAGAATTCCCAAACATCCGTCAAACCAGCAGCCACATCTCCTTGAGCTTTACTTCTGTCTTCACCTTTCTTCCCTTTGTGTACTTCCTTATAAAAAATAGACTTTGACACAAACATATGGCCATCTAATTTTTGTTAACTGAGTCAAAACATGCAGTGGAAAAAAACGTCTGTTCAATGTATGGTGTTAACAAAACTGGATTAGATACATATCTAATGAAATTAGGTACATATCTTTCACCTTGTACAGAAGTCAATTTGAAATGAATAAAAAAAAATCTTAATTTAACACCTGAAATGCAGAAACTATTAGAGGAAAACATAGAGCATGCTCTTCAAGACATTGGGGTAGACAAGAAACACCAAAACAAATACCTTCGAACTGCAGTTAACAAATGGACTAATGAAATAAACACAGTTTTCAAAAGAAGAAACACAAATGACCAGTACTGTCTTTTTTAAAGTATTTGACATCCCTAGTCATCAGGAAAACTCAAATCAAATGCTTTGAGATGCTGCCTTACTCCATCAGAATACTGTTATCAAGAAAACTGACAGCTAATCTTGGAGAGGAGGTAAGAAAGAGGAATCTTATTCTCTGCTGGTAAGAATTCAAGTTAATACAGCCATTGTGGAAATCAATTTGGAGTTTTCTCAAAAAAATTAAAAGAATACCATATATCCCAGCTATCTTCTGGGCATATGCTCTGAGCACGCTCTACTTTTAGAGATACTTGTATATTCATGTTACAGCTGCATGACATGATAGCTAGGAAATGGAATTATCTCACAAGACAATCAACAAATGACTCAATAACGGAAATGTGGTACATATACAAAAGGGAGTTTTATTCAGCTGGAAGGAAAAATGAATTAGGAAATTGGCAGCAAAGTTGATAGACTTGGAATATACATATCATTTGAGCTCACCTGGACTCAGAAAGGGAAAAAAAAATGCTATCCCAAGAGACTAAGACAGGGTAATCTTCAGTGATGACATGGGAGCCAAGCAAAGGATCCATGAGTTGTAAAGGGTGTTATAAAGCTGATTGTTTTTCTAATTTCAACTACATCAAAGGGTTTTCTTTCCTTTATTGTTGTGGATGAGCCCATAGAAATCTAATTAGTAGTGAAAGCTTAAAACCGTGACCAAAGTCCCTTTGCTTCAGAACGGCCATTCTGAATGTATGCAAGTTCACTGAGGCGCATAGAGTGTGGAACTAGATAAATGTTTGTTTGAGTGGTTCCCATAATCTAGCTATGTGATTTTTTTATTTGTAAGTTTGTTGCAATAAAATTATTTTTGAAATTCAGGGCTTTAAAAAGAAAAGATTTACAGCTTAAAAAAATCTTGTTTGAAGACTGAAGAGATGGGTCAGCAGTTAAGAGCACACTGGCTGTTAGCGTTTACAGGCTAGCTCACAACAGTCTGTGATTACAGGTCTAGGAGATCCAGTGCCCTCCTCTAACCTTTGAGGGTATGAGCTCAAAAGTGGTACCATACTTAAGTACACACACAAACACACAGGCAAAAGACACATACACATGAAATAAATTTATAAAGCTCTGTTTTGTGGCACTTACATTGTAATGAAGCATACTTTGTCTTGATCTTACAAGGATCTGGTGGGCTTAGATGGACAAGGCTTTTATTAATAGAAATTACATAAGTCTTTATTATAGATAAATCAACCAGCAAGTCTCAGACAATATGTGTCAATGCTCATTATGTTCTGTCTTTATTAACTCCTCTGTCCCGTCAGGAATTTTTGAAGAACCACAAGATCTGGCTTATTTAATATGTATAAAATATATGACATACTGTTTTTAAAAATAGATTTTTAACTCAGTGTGTTTTCTGATTGCTTTTTGTTGGGTGAGGTGTGTGTTTGTGTGTTTAGACAATCTCTCACTCTGTAACCTAGGCTGGACTGAAAACCATTGTGTAGGCCAGACTGTCTTTGAACTTGATGGTGATCCTTCTCCTCTGCCTCTGAAGTCCTGGATAATAGGTTAAATAGGTGTGTTACATCCAGTCTAATATATTAAAGCTGTGTGTGTGAATCACTCCCGATGATTTGCTTACACCGCTTTATAGTAGTTACCACCTTAAAATTACCCAGCACTTCCTGGTAGCAATATGGTGGTGAAATCTGAGGTACAAGCACAACCATACTTAGCCTGCACTCTTTAAAGACAGCATATACAAACCCATCATTTCTAATGTTGGTTCTTTGAAAACTGACAGATAATATTTAGGGGCCTTTCCATTCTGTGACAAGAAAGAAGCAAGACACATTACATCATTTTAGTGAGACAAATGCTGTGAGAAACAGGAGCTGATTGTGGGTATCATTCTTACATTTAGAGGTTACAGAAATATGCTCTAAAGAGAAGAATGTTCAATTGAAACTTGACACATTGTCCACTTGGACCTACCCCCTGGGAATGTTTTATTAGAAGAAAACATTATAGCTGAGAGTAGATAGCTTTTATTTTTAAGCTGTGAGATTTTGAGCTGATAATAGTATCTAAACTCACAAGCACATTTTTAAATGTATATATACAGACCTAAATAGTAGGTGATCGATGTGATTTGTTAGACATCTCATTTCTTGAAAAGTGCTGTTACTTGTATGCTTTAGTTTTGTTGTAATGTTCATTTTTTAAGTTACAAAGCAGCAGGTACTAGATTAATAGTTGTTGGATGTGGGGTATTAATGGTAAACACGGACTGGCAGAGTTTTTCTGTACAGGTGACAATAGTAAATTACAGTTTGGACATCACTGATACATGATTTCTGCCACAAGAACTTAATTCTCCTCTAGCCCCAAAGCAGTCAGACATGTTAAGTAAATGAATGGAACTATATTCCAACAAAATATTTTTATAAAAATAAAGGTGGCATGTTAGACATGGCCATGGTCTGCAGTTTTATTAAGCAAATTGTTTACAAAAATCAATATTTTAGAAAATATGTATATTTGCCTCTTACAAAATGTATGATTTTTAAATTACAGGTAACATACCTTGGAAAGGAACTTTTGAAGTATGTTTCTGAAGAAGCTCCTACTTCTGCAGAACCGTATAACACACCTCAGCAACATCAGCCTTGCCTCTCAGGTAAATGTGGCCCCAAACCTACTTGTTAGTTGTTGGGCAGGCGTACCCAAGCCTAATGAGAAAGTACTAACTTCTTTTTCCCCAATTAGGTAAAATTCAAATAGGTCATTATAATCAACCATGTTAGCATAAAAATCCGGTGGCGTTTAGTGTATTCTCAGTGTTGTGCAACACTACCTCTGTGTAGCTTCAAAACGCTGTCTTGACTTCCAAAGAATTCTGTACTCATCAGCAATTGCTCCCCATTCTCTACTTCCCACAGTCCCTAGGAGTGCTTTCTCTCTGGATGGATGTGTTCTTTTAAATATGATATAGAAGTGAGGCCGTGCACTGTGGCCTCTGGGGCCTCCTTTTATCCAGCACAGTGGTTTTGAGGATTATCCATATCGTAGCTTGTACTTTGTTTGTGCTTGTACTTTGTTCCTTTTCATGGCTTATTCAGCATTTGAGCATATGAGCTGTTTCCACTTCAGGGATATTGTGAAGAATGCTGTTGATAAGCATGTGTGCACATTTAGGTCTTTGAATACCTGTCTTAGGTTCTTGTGGCTGTATAGAGAAGTGGAACTGGTTTGTTGTGAAGTAACTCTAGGTTTATTCTTGTGAAGACTACCTGGGATGTTGCACACCATCAGGACCACTTTACATTTCACAGTAATGACCAAAGACTCCATGTTCTCCATGTCCCCAGTAATAGTTGTGTTGTCTTATTGTCCTAGACACAGTTGCTTCTAGGAAATTTTTAGACGATATCATTTTTTATTGCTAATTCCTTTATCTGAATTTATTTCTAAAATCACTGAGTTGGTAAATAAAATATCCAATTAAAAAAAATCACTGAGTAGTTTATAAGTATCACACAAAGACAGACTTGGTATGTTCATATATTTTCTGAAAATTTGCACTAAAATTAATCTTTATTTATTAAGCTAATACTCCCTATGAAATGGAAATACTATTATCCTGAAAAACATAAAGATTCAGCCTCACAAATGTCACACCTTGACTTGATTGTCAAGTCAACACAATCCTGAAAGTCAAATATAACCAACATTTATTTCCCTCCTGTACTGCTACAGTACCCCTCCTTTTATCCCAGTGTCTCTACCATGCCAGTTAGTGACGATCTAGGCAGAGAGTTGCTACACAGAAAATGATGATATTGTGATGAGTAAGGTCAGGAACCAAACAGGATTCCTGTTGTCCTACCAAGACTAGAGCTCCATAATTCAAACTACTTCTCTTTCCTAACTTACGCTTAATCTACCTTAACCTCTTAGGATCCTGTCTCAGAAAAAAATACTGGGCTGGCTAGTTTTATGTAAACTTGACACAAGCAAAAGTCATCTGAGAAGAGGGATCCTCAATTGAGAAAAAAAATGGCTCCATAAAATCGTGCTGTTAACAAGCCTGTAGGGCATATTCTTAATTAGTGATTGATGGGAGATGACCCAGCCCATTGTATGTGGTGATGTCCTTGGGCTAGTGGTCCTGGGTTCTATAAGAAAACAAGCTGAACAAGCCATGAGAAACAAGCCAAAAAGCATCACCTCTCCATGGCCTCTGCCTTAGCTCCTGCCCCCAGGTTCCTGTTCTGCTTGGGTTCCTGTCCTGGCTTCCTTGAATGATGCACAATGCTGTGGAAGTGTAAGCCAAACAAACCCTTTCCTCCTCAAGTTGCATTTTGGTCATGGTGCTTTAATCACAGCAGTAGAAACCCAACTAAGACAAGTACCTTCATCATAGTAGATACCTTCTTCCAGTTTTGTAATGACAGCTTTCATCATTTGGGAGAATCTTGGTCTGGGAGATCAGATCAGTGAACATGGGAAGTTAAAGGCTTAGGAAACTAGGATTTCTTACAGTAATTCATGATGTTTGGTTCTAAATTGTTCTAATTTGCTTCTTTGCTGCTGTGATAAAATAATGAGCAAAAGCAGTATAGGAAAGGAATGGGTTTGGTTTGGTTTGGTTTGGTTTGGTTTGGTTTGGTTTGGTTTGGTTTGGTTTGGTTAGGATTAGTCCTCTACCAGGCAACCCAAGACAAAAACCTATCACTATCAGTTTTCACTATCACTACCAGCTTTCAACCAACTATTCAAACCATGAGCCTGTGAAGAGCATTTCATATTCAGTCCATACACTGTATACAGAGAAAATAAAAGTTTAGACACAGTAAGTTATGTTGGATAATTTCACAAATTACAAGGAACTTTACACTGAAAATTGAAGCTGTAGGCCTTTCTAAGAACGGAATTAAAAAATAAATAAATAAGTAAATAACAAGCCTAGGATGTTACAAGTTGGAGCAGTTGTGAAGAACTGGAGTCTGTAAACAAGTCTTGCCCTGACTCCTTTACAGGAGTGGTAGGCCATTGTGCATCAGCACTGGTGTACTCTGCCCCATTGTAACCACACGTATAGCCAGAGTGGGAGTCCCTGAGTTTGGTGTGTCAGGAGATTCCTGCTTCCCCCCAGTTATCCCTTCTTCTTAACAGTTTTCCGGAGAATTGTTTCAGTTGTGTTTGAATTAAGCATTATGAACTTGTGGATTTTGCTTTCAGTTTTATATAATATTATGGGAACCAATAATGAAAACTTAAATCTGCTTCTAGCATTTATTTCTGTGAACTGCTAAATAATTATGTATGTACTATTATCAAAACATTCACAAGTAAATAGTAATAGCAATGAAGCATCTCAAAGCCTATTATAAACTGGTGGTGAGTGATTCATCCATAGTCCCAGCTACTTGGGAGACTACTAAGGAATCTCAGTTGAACCCTAAGTTCAAGGTCAGCCTGAACAATATAATGGGATCACACCTCAAAATAAACAGATACAAATCCTCTTTATTTTAGTTTCCATAGAATAGGAACTATAGACAGAGATTCTCAGAAACTGTCCTTTTGTGAAGCTTCTGTGAATCTCTGGTTAGGAAGACATACAACAAACATCCCCCTCTGGGAGCACAAGAGTTAACTAAGCATTTTACTTTCATGCCCAGTGAGCTGAGGAATACAGTTTGAAAGCAGAATTTTGATCCATATGCAGATTAAATTCCTGACCTAATCAACACCATACTCTGGGTTGCTAACTGATGCATCATTGCCAACAAACTCTTTAATAGGTAACTCTTAGGTCTAATTATTGTAAAGGGCAGTAAGTCCGTATGCAAGGTGCTCATGCTAGATAGTAATCAGGAAGGTATCAATGAGAACAGTGGCCTTACTTTGTATAGCTAGAGTGGGAGTGCTTGTAAAAATGTATACCATGCAGTATTAGTAAGAATGTGGAGGGGAAACTAGGCATCATCATAGCTCTTCACATGCTGGCAGTGTAGAGGAGGGCTTTCTCTGGGCACTGGCACACGTGTCTGAGATGTGCAGTATGCACACATCCTCACCCTCGGCACTTTGCTTACAAGGAGCAGTCCTACAGAAGTATTTGGACATGTAACGTGTAATTCAGAAACTGTCACAGAGGGGTTAAGCTCTCAGAACATAACCAAAGTAAGTGCAGTGTCTTATGGAGGTAAAGAAAGACAGGTAGTGCGAGCCTTATTGTTGTGCGTTTTGCCTGAGCTATCTCTCGTACCCCCAACTTTTGTGGAACACCTTGTTTTTGAAAACAGAGTGTGGTGATACATGTCCACAGTCTCAATTACTTGGGATGTTGAAACAGGAGGATTACCAAAGGCCATCAGTTCAGTTCAGGAGCTATGAAAAACACAGCTGTTAACTGTAGGGAAACAGTCTGGGCGAGGGAAGAATGAAACTCAGATCACCAGTGCTCGGCCGAGACTTTGAGGGTCTCACATCAGCTTATATATTTTTTGCCAAATTTAAGTATAGCAAAATTTTAGAAAGAAGTTTTGGTTAACAATTAACTCAGCCCTGTGAGTACTACAAAGCTTAAGAGATGTTCACGCTGAAGCTCTTTTGTCGGTATGAAGTGCATACGGCTTCACCTGGGAGATGGGTCTTACTAACTTAGAACAGTGCTCAGGATAATTGTTGAGGGAGAATGACCGGGCAACATAATGCCTTGGGAGTCAGGATACAAGTCTCTTAGGCTGTTGTAAAGTACAAATGGCATCTCTCACAAGGTTGAGTTTTATGGCCCAGTAGTAGTGCTCAAGGTTTAGGGAGAGCGGGTCTGGGATAAGTAAAACATAAATTCTGAGAAATAGAGGCAGAGCCTGGCTCATCAGACAATGAAGAATCACCAATTTGAAACTACAACCATTCCCAGCATTCCAGGAGGACAGGTTAAACATCTGATTCCTTTGAAGGAAGCTTGCCAGTGTAACTGTCCTGGCATCTCCAGTGCTTTTCTGTGTGTACAAGCACTTTTTGCCCTCTATAGTTAATATGGGGATATGTTTATATATGGAAATATATATTAAATATATATTTAAATAAAATATATTTAAAATATATATTTCAAAATGTAAAAAGTATTCAATTACAGTAACAGGTTTGTGTGTGCTTAGGTATGTGCATATGTAAATGTGCATACACATGTGGTGGAAGTCGACAACCTTGACTGTTCTTCAATTCCAATCTACCTTGTTTTGATTTTGCTTTGCTTTTAGAAGTAAGGTCTCATAGGCCCAGAACTTGTCAAGAAAGCTAGGTTGGGTGGTCAGAGAGCCCCAGGGATCCACCTAGCATTAGTGCCTCCTCTGTACCCGGAGTACAAAGATATACCACTACCATCTAGTCCTGTTTTTTTTCTTTTTCCTTCCTTCCTTCCTTCCCTCCTTCCTTCCTCCCTTCCTTCTTTTCTTTCTTTCTTTTCTGTTTTTTTTCCTGAGTTCTGAGAAATTAAACTTAGTGCTTTATGGTTGCAGTCAAGTGAGTGCTTTACTGACTGAGCAATTACCCCATTCTGTACGTTACAGTTGAACGTCCACTCAGACTGACTCAAACCACTGAAAGTGGCATTTTATTGATATCTGCATGTCAATAAAGGCCAGGGAGGGATCTAAGGCTTTATCTAAGATTCAAACAACATTACTAAACATAAAGTTCCTCCTCTTCCAGCTTCTACATTCTAATCCCATAAACCTGGTATAGTGGTACATATTTGTAATCCTACCACTGAGGAGGTTTAGGACAGGGGATTCAGAAGTGGAGGGTCATCCTCTGTTTTATAATGAATTTGGGGCTAGCCTGAGATGCATGAGACTCCATCTTTAAAGAAAGGGAAAAGGCCACTGCATTTCTAAGATCCACTTCTACATTTTAGTTCCTTCCTAATAGCCTCTCACTACCCAAGGCTGTTTGCTTATTGATTCAAGGCTTTAGGAAGGAAGATTTACATGTGACTTTCCCCAAAGATTCATCTGAAATCTCATTGTCTCTCACCTCCCTCTGAATGGATGTGGGTCAGTGCCTACTGATTGGCACAGATGTAAATGAATCAAGAAGTTGAGAATAAGTAGCCCAAAGAACATAAACTAAGTAAGGTGCAATGAATAGTCATAGAGGCAAGTTACTGTGGGAAATACAAATAGGTGCTGGTCATTGAAACTCCTGCCCTTAAATACCTAATTTCATGAAACATTTATATCCAGAGGCTATGGATAACATTAATGGCCTATATGGTATGCCTTAACTCAAACATCATGGACCATTTCAACTGACACAGGCAAAAGAACCCTCACACTTATAAAAGAACTAGAAGTGGTATGCTTTCCATGAGACCACACTCTACGTGTATGGTAGAGAAAGGACTAGAAAACTGGTCATCTGTCTTCTATTCTAAAACATCTCAAAATCAGCAATTAATAGTGATCATAATAATAGCAAGTTATTGTTTGTCATATGCCAAGTAATGTGTTAAGTGTACACATGCAAAATCTCAGTCTTCACAGCTGTTTTATTCTCAGCTTACTGGAATTGAGGGACAAGAGGCCTTATTCAACTACCTTTAGAAGCTTTCTTCATGCTTTTTCTCCTATAATTTTAAACTACAACCAGGTCTATCCTTTCCTACATCCCTTCTCCCCCATCCCACCCAGAGCGCGCTCTCTCTCTCTCTCTCTCTCTCTCTCTCTCTCTCTCTCTCTCTCTCTTTCTCTCTCTCAGAAGTCAGCCAGTTCTTGGTCTATAGGTTTGTCTCAGGCATAGAGTGATGAATGTCCTAGTCAGAAAACCTATCAAGTATGCTCTGATATGGACCAAGTGGATCCTAGGATATGAATGACTTTGTTTAAATCTTACATTATAAAAGGCTTGTTTTAATTTTGATGCATATTTTAGCAGGCACTTCCAGAGAGTCGATACAAATCATCCCTCATTATCTTCAGATAAAAGAAATACTTCTAATCAGCGATCAAGAGCTTCTGCCATGCCATGTAATGGAGCAGCATTGGAAGTTCTATGTGGAATGTAAGAAGCTAACGTTCTGAAGCCTTGCTTTCTTGGTAGCTTATTTAGCATTTGTTCTTATAATCACCAGCCCTTCATCTCCATCTTGTATGGTGGACATATCTTAACCCGCACTATGAGTTATTTACTGTGATAAGAAAACTGTTATGGTCAGTTTAGTGCTTTTTGCCTCTGGAATCAAGGCATTTCTGAATAAAACTGTATTGACTCTCCCACTTTACTTTTATTGTCATCAACTTAAAACTAATCTTGCATTCAGCACTTCTACCTGTGCATGAGTGACCGTTCCTGTGAGGGAAGTGAAGACACACATACACAATTAACAGGTAAGTATCCCTGGAGAGTCCCTGGAATGTATTCCCCCATTTACTCTGATATATAACTTAAAATAAAAATGTAAAATTACAATGGAAATTGAGTTTTATGTAAGATTAGTATAGGTAGAGCTAAATCTTAGAACAGAAAGCTAACCAAGTGCTGACTGGGGATGACGGCTTTCCAACGTTGAACCTTTTTCTTCTACACACTGTCATGAGCATTTGTAAGATACTCAGGAGCTTTGTCAGTCTTCTCAAACTCCTTAATGTTTTCATAACCAAATTATTCTTATCCTTCATTATCTCTGACTCCCAAGTAAGCTTTGGCCTCACATTCTTATTCTGTCACTTGTCTGTCATTGTGTAGAAAGGTGAAAATGGCAACAAAAATCACTAGGAGGCTGGAGAGATGGCTCAGCAGAGTCCTAGTACCCATGTGCAGCTCACAGCCCTCCATATGTAATTCCAGTACCCGGGACTCAGTGCCCTCCCCTGGCCTCTGTGGGCCCTGGGCATGTATACACACAGGCATGCATGTAGACAAAACACCAATACACACAAAGCACTGATTTAGCATTTTCAATCAGTAGAACATTTTGTGGGGGGAATATGGTGTTAGCTTTGAGTATTTGGATGTCTTATTTCAAATTATAAAATATTTAGAAAATATCTTTAGAATATATAGTTGAGAGCTGACTTTGGGGGATTAGGGTTACAGATCTGGGCAATTGAGAAGAAAGGAAGGCTGTTCCCACCAAAGCTGGAGAGAGCTGCTCTGCCATGGCTCTTCTCTAAGATCCCTGGGCAGTTTGGAAGGTATTTATAAGATGCTTGTCAATTCTGGGTTCTCAGTGAACCTTTTAAGTTTCCGACCCTCAGCCACACACAGGACCTTGAGGAATGTCAATTGATCCAATCTACTTGACCTTTGTGTCCTTTCTGTGAAACTAGTTTTAAAAAATGCTCTGCATGTATTCACTGTAATATGTGGTGCTGTATTATATGAGGATATTTTCATACAAGCATATGTTGCACATTGAGTATATTCCCTCATGTGCACCTCTCTCCCCTTTCCTCTTTCCACTTCCCCTCTCCCATTAGTTCCCTTTTACCTAGACAGTCTGGCCTCTAGTTTCATATATACATGCATGATTTTACCTATTTGAAATATAGGAACTATTCATGAGAGAAAACATGGCATTTGTCTTCCTGAGACTGGCATAATTTCCTTAGCATTATCTTTACTTAAATCCATTTACCAGGACGTGGCATAACTTAGCTCTTTGTATCTGAGAACAATGTTGCTATTTCTGTGTGCCACATTTCTTTACCCATCCCTCTGTTGTTGGGCACCTACCTTTATGAACACTGCTGTACAACAAGCATTGATGTACAAGTATTTTCATGACCCATTGGCCTGAGTCTTTCATTCTCCTCAGTTCATCCCTCATCAGTACCAGGGTAGACTGGTTATCCAACAGCAGTTCTAGCCAGTTCCTGTAAGCTTACTGTAGCTTATTTGTTGATTGAGCACCATGGCATACTACTGCCTAATTGTTCTTAAATATCTACACTGTCCCCTTTGCTACTGCAGGAGTGAAACTGTAACAGGTCCCCAGACCTTAGCAGGACTGACAGTGTGATGGAAAGTCCCATCAGGCCTTGGAACCCACTGCATAGGTAGGAAGATCTGCCAAAACAAAAACAAAGACCTAATCCATTCAAAGTCCGTAGCTCTCAAAAAGTCCCTAAAGGTACTAACCTTGCTTTATGGCTTCTGAAGTTTTACTTCTAGCTAACTGTTCTTGCTAACTGAGATATGCAAGGCATATCAAGGCAGGATATGAATTTGTGCTTAAAAATCCACCCTGAGAAAGACTTGGGACTGCACTCAGGTGCCATGAATCCAGTGTAGTCACAAGCTGGCTAATAAAGGCTTTCTGGTGGCTTGAACTCATGTCCAGTTGGTCTTCTCTGGTGGATGCCTCACAACAAAATCTAGGCCAAAATTTTTAATTACTTGTCTACCCCTAATATAATCTTCCAGTTTTATCTTCCAATAATCTCATAACTCTTAAACATATTTCTTGGTCCCTGTTATGAACTGAATTGTGTCCCTCAAAATTCATGTGTTAAATTTCTAATCTCCAATTCCTCAATTATGAGTGTATTTGGAAGATAGGGCCTTTAAAGAAAGATAAAGGCCTTGGTTAGTTAAGTCAAGATTAAGTCATTAAAGCAGCAGGCTCTATATGATTCAGTCTTCCTGAATCAGAACGATGAGGCTTGGACACATAGGGACAAAAAAGATGTAAGAATACAGTAATAGGCGTTCATCTACAAGCAAATGGCCACAGCAGGGAATAGACCACTGACTGTAGACCAGAATCTTGAGAAATGGATGTCTCTTATTTAAAGCCACCTAGTATGTGGGGTTTTCATTTCGGTGATCCTAGCAAATGAATGCAATCTGACACCCATCTCCCTTCCTTACATACAGTATTTCCCCCACCTATAACATTCGCTCTCTGTTTTGTCCAGTATGGCTCCTGGGACTTGGATCTAACTCAGGGTGGTGAGTGAATGAAGAAATACAGAAAAGCTGGGATCAGGTGATCTCAGCTCTCAGCTGGGAACGTTTCAGCTCCCAAGAAGCTTAGCATATTTATTGTACAGAGTTGAACAGAGAGGCCAGGTTATTGCAAAGCCAGACAAGGAGGTGGAGTTTCTTGGTATTGTGGTGGTTTTGATAAGTATGGACCCCATAGACTCATGTATTTGAATGCCCCATCCATAAGGAGTGGCACTATTAGGAGGTAGGACCTTCTTGGAAGAAACATGTCACTGTGGGTGAGGGACTTTGAAGTGATATGTGCTCAAGCTATGCCCAACGTAGTACACAGTCTCTGCCATTTCCTTCTGACCCTTGCCCCCAGGTGGCAGGGAGGCTTTGTCATTTTTCCATGGTTCATGGACGCTGGGGTCCTCAACACAGCCACGGCCATGTCAACAGTACACATTTGCTCAAAGCTTCACTCAGGGCTTCCTTCACTCCCTACCCCTCGCTCCCCTGCCAATCTGTAGTTCTCACACATTTTACCATATAGTTATATATGAGGCCTCCCTCAAATATGACCTCATGTTGCCTCATCAGCTCCTCTCAATTCAAGCCCTTAAGATTTGGTGCCTGCTATTCCTAATTTTAGTTTTCATGGTTTGTCTCCCTGAAGCATTTTTAAAACCTTATTAAGAGTCTAGTTCATGGCTATATAGTTAGTATTTCCTATTAAATATCTCAAGTACAGAATTTCCTGTCGATTACATATAGTGTTTCAAGGTCAGTAACAGAAAATCTTACTAAAGAATGTCTTAAGTGTCACTTTGACATGCCAAGACATAGGGACTTAGGAAAGGCTATACTTCGGTTGAGCAATGTTACCATTGCTTCTTCTTCATGCTCCACAGGGATTTTGCTGTTACAGTCTGAAAAATACCATTAGAAATGAGATAACTTTCTTCCAATGCACTTCTTTGGGGAAGTAGCTTTCCTGAACACTTCCACTCACAAGAAAGTTGTGTTATAGTCTGGCAAGAGGGCTCAGCAGGGAAATGTGCTTGTCAACAAGCCTGGCAACCTGAGTTAGAGACTCAGGATGGAAAAAACGGAGTACCACAAGTCATCCTCTCATGATGTGTGCGCATACACACTCAAAAACACAGAAACACATTGTTTAAAATGTTTTTGATTCTCTGTGAATTTCACATCATGTACCTCAATCCCACTCATCTTCCCCTACCCCCATATCCACTCTCTGACACTGCAACCTTGCCACCCCCAAAAAGAAACAAAAACTAAAAACAACAACAACAAAAAAAAAACATTTAAAAAATCTCACTGTGGAAGCTGCCGTGTCTTGTGGTATGTCACACACCCGTTTGCCCAGACAGTTTTACTAGCATATGTTGACTTCAGTGAGTCATTGGTCTGGTTCAAGGCCTCTGGCTTCTGCTACACTGTCAATACTGGATCCTCACTGGGACTCTTCTGAGACATCCTTTTATTGCCCTGTGTCATGGAGGTCCTCCAGCCTGGGTTCTGCAGGACGGGCCCTTTCGTGTGCTCCAGCAGTTCATAGATGGCACAGATGTTGGAGTAGGCCAACTCAAGGCCCTGATCCAAGCCTAGTGATAGCTGTGGTTTTCAGCCCACCAGCTCTCCTTTGCCCGAACCACCAGGCCCTGCTTTGCCCAGGTGAGGGGTGAGGACAGCTCCTGTTTGTGGCAGCAGCCAAGCACCCATGCCACCAGGGCCAGCTCTTCAGCACTGATCCGAATAGGGGTGGGGACAGCTTTCCCATGCCCACACCTGCAGGGCCAGCTCTCCCATGCTGCCCAGGCAAGGGATGTGGTCAGCTCTCCATAGCCCTCAGACATTAACGTGGCCCAGACTGGGGATAGCTGCATGGCCTTTGGTGATAACATAGGCCATGAAAATCAATACAAACCCCTCCTGCTGCAGGGACATGGACCCAGTCATGGCCCTCAGTGACAACACAGTCGAGCACTTCATCATGGCCTCAGCCAACCCAGGCTGCTCAGGCTATTCCTTTCCACCCTCAAGTCTCTCTTCATAGTGCTCAAACCATTCCACTTCCCTCTCAGCTCTCCAACACACACATGTCCAAAAAAAGTGGCTTCCCTGTGGGCAGGCGGGCCTCCCAAAGGCACCACATGGCACCTCTGGGTGTCTTCTTCCCACCCTGGAGTGTCTCTGGGTTTCTTCAGCATG